TTTTTTCCTTTAATAGTTTTACTGTACAGTTGATTGTGTTGGGCTATATACTGTATAACATGTGAGCACTGACCATGAGGACTGCTTTCATACACCAAAGGTCAGCAGTATCGCTTACAGAATGAGATAGGAGCCCCTCAAACACTCTCTAAGTCATTTACCTCACTCCTGATCAATTATTGACATGCAGTTGTCAGATGAAAAGCCGGCCAGACTTTCCGTTGATCTGTTTGATGAATATTTCAGCTGACAAACAGGCCACCTGACACTCTGCACCAAAGCACTGTGTGGTCCTTCATCCTTGCCACAGTCATCATGCACACATACATTCACAGGCCACTTTATTAGGTACCCCTGTATAATTGTATCCAGTTCACTGTAACACCTCCACCTTAACATATGTGTTTATGAAGCTCAAAATTTTTCAGTTTTTGGTGAAATTGTCATAATGTATACTTTCAATTCTATATTGGGGTCATAGTTAAAGGTGTTGTTGTTCTGGACTGCATTATATTCAGAGGTGTTCCTAATATTCTGACCCTCTCATGTATGTAGCTGGGGAGGACAAAAATATAGACACCTCCCAATTCTACAGTGGAGGAATGTTACTGAAGTACTGTACTCGAGTACAATTCTATGGTAGGTTTACATTACTTGTATATTATGACACTGTATACTTCTAATCCACTATAGTTAGTTTACTTTGTTTCTCACTGCATTTATCTGGCAGCTACCACTTACTGTGCAGATTGTATATACAAAGCCAGTGATGGTCAAATAAACAGGAACTATAAATAAAACAGTAGTATTTTAATTTAGTTCCACCATGACCAGCTATAACATTAAAATCAATAAACATAATAAAGTATTATAGGTTTTTCTTAAGTATATATGTATTAAGAGTGAAGGGCCATTGTGATGAAGTGCTTTTACATTTTGATACTACCACATCTGTACTTTTACGGGACAATTTTGAATTACCAAAGTATTTTAACATAACAATACTGGTGGTGATTTTACTTAATCAAAGAATCTGAGCCATTCCTCGACTACTGATATATTGTATATATCATAGAACTTGCATCATACTATTTATAGTTATTTAGGTACTTCAGGATTTAAAGCATGAGAAAATAAAACAGTACACTGACTAGGTCTATGGCTTTTGTAACTTCATTACTCCATACACCATAATTTGGTTACACAGTGTCAGAACTTTATTTTTAATTTTTGTTATCTGATAATGGTTCTATTTGACAACACCATGTAGTCACATCTTGCATTCAATAAAGTCATTTGACCACAGCTTGAAAGAAGAGCCAATAGAGCTGCCCGCTAACGGGTGATGTGTTATTTATGTCAGGTTCAGTTCAAAAGCAGCCTCTATGGAGACGACACACCCCGTAAATTTTTCTATGGCCCCTGTGAGCGGGTCAGAAAGGCACCAATATTTTCTCTTTATTGGAAACAACAGAAACAACATGCAGCCATAAAGCAGAGCTCAGAGGTGAATCTGAAACACAGGCAACGGCGGTGAAAGCATGCTGCTCTGAGAGCTGAGAAGTAGTCACACAGTCCATTTCTTCCAACCGGCCTGTCCATACATTGGTGTATTTCCTCGTAACTCTCACACCAGCGACTCACAAACTCCTCGTGCTTCATCACAGGTCAACTTGGAGATTAACTTTAAAAGAAGATATAACAAATGATTGCAGCCTCTCAGGTAATTCATATCTTCTGAAATGCCATAACCCTCTACATATCCTGACCCCAATTTGGAGACTGTGCGTTGAAGGCCCATCTGAGAGGGATAGTATCGATCTGAAGAGGGACTCTGGCAGCATCAATAAACAACAAGCTTCAGGCTTCAAGGCTGAGGAGACATCTCTATTTCAGCTAGCAGGTTTGCATCGGGATACCTGAGCTGGGACTTGGCCCTGGACAGATGGTGGGACACGTTGTTTTGGCTGAACTCACGACATGGTCCAGTTCCTTTGTGAGACCAAAGTCAGTAATACCTTCTATCTTGATAAATAATGCCTTAAACCATAAGCACACACATTTTTTTATTTTGAATAAATACATTAACGTTCAGGAGCACAGTAAATAGAAAGCCACCAAGTAACAAGCAATATTTGTGGAAACAATCCATGGTTAACTAGCAGACAAAGAGAAGATCATCTAACTGTACTTGCATTCCAACAGGGGAAAAACAGCCCTTAACACAACAACATTACATTTAACATAGCCTAATCAAATAAGACAAGAAAGAGTAAGAAGAAGTACACATTGTACTTTTAGTGACACAAAAACTGCCATAAATTAAAACTAGACTACAGTAAATAAGTAATGGGTAATTGTGCTGGGTTTTGTTGCTGCCTTGTTTATCTGCTTCTTCCTCATTGCTGAGAAAGTTAAATAAGTGTGTTTCATATATTTAGAGTCAAACTGAGCTCACTTTGTGCTAAGCAGCACGTCAATAGCAAGAAAAGAGGTATGGGGGCAAGAGAGGAGGTCTGATGAAATGGCTTTTAATTACCAGTGAATGTTGGCTTTCCTTTTTCACTTTCTCCTCCCAGCGAAGTCAGGAGTTTGATTTCTGATAATGTGGATTGCTGACTGGGCTTCATCCTAGTTGCCCCTAAAGCAGAAGGGCCTAACGTCAAGTCCTGGGAGAGTATGTTTGACCAAGTACCATATAGATCCTCTGCTTTTCATCAGATGACAGTGCTGGTGAAGGCATTAATCAGAATGCTTAATAGCCCAGCTTCATTTCCCCTTTACTCTCCTGTTACAATTAGGCAAAGTAATAATTTCAGGCATTACATGGAAATCAATGGGTCCTTAACACAGCCATTGGTACGGGTGTAAATGATGAGATAAGTTGAGAGCAGGTCAATGCAATGAACTTGTAACCTCTGCGTGCACACAGTATGTGTGCATTTGAGATAATTAGCAATAGACAGGCAAGCAGATAGATAGAATACCTTTAGTAAAGTGCTGTAGTACCTGTACTTGACTTTCCATGATATGCTATTTCAACTACTTCAACTGTGTTGCATTTTATAGAGAAGTGTTGCACTTTTTTACTTCACTGCAGTCATTTGACAACTTTAGCATTGCAGGAAAAGATTTAAAATCCAAATGCAATAACTAACCGGCACAGTATAAAATAGTTGATACATCTCAACATGTTGCAACATTAAAAAGCTACTTATATGTTAATGCAACAATAAAAATATTCAAATAATGCATATCATAATATAACCTCTCAAAGGGGTGATGCTACATTTTCCCCTTCTGATAATTTAAGTACACTCTAATAAAGGATCTGAGTATATAGATATTTTTACCTTGCTCTTTTCAGTTCTTTTCTTACTTTTCATCAAAATGTTAATAACTGATAGAGGATTTCAGCCTTAGACAGAGGCTATTGATTTAGCGCTGCAACGTCTGGCATTGTACTCATCACATGTTCAGCCAGATCTGAGCCACAGGGAGACAGAATAAACTTAAACAACTTCTTATTATTACACAGAACCCCGGTTAACAAACTTGGGTGTCAGATCTGTAAATTAACAGTAAGAGAGACTTCACTTTGGCCAGGGATCAATGTCTTGTTCTTGGAACTGCAATCAAGGCTCCTTGGTGAGAAGGCACAGAGATTTATGCAGCTTCTCAACAATAAGGCTATAATCAACAACATTTTTAAGTGCCCCTTTATTTTACATTCAATTATATATTAACCAAGTGGAAACCTTTAAATATTTAATGCTGTGTTAATGCAGAGTGAAAGAGGTAAAAAACCTCTTTGAATACTTGAAATGCCAAGATCATGAGCACACATGCTTATCATGTCATCTTCCTACTCCCTTTCAAGCATGTACTATTGGAATGTTGTGATGTCTTATGTGTATTTGTTGAAATGTCTAATCAATTTTGTTTTTCGCAATATCAAGTTTCTTAGTTTTACATGCTTGGAAGAAACTTAAATAAATAAAATAAAATGTACACCTCTTTTTTAAAAAGAGTATCACTTTGTTGGATTGTCACTTTGTATTTTTCATCTATACAGCTGTGGTATTCTTTGTGAGGACCATTAATACAATATCCAAATATAAATCTAAGATTTTTGATCTAAGGTCAATTTTAAAAAGAACATCTTCCCTTTAGATACACACATACCCTCAGAAAGCTAATTTATGTTCAAAATTGTACTCTTTCATTATACTTGATCTCACCTCAATGTCATAAAAGCAGTCCAAGGCAACAATTTCTTTTCAGGACATGTTCAATAATTCCAATTCAGTCTAAAAGGCTGATTTGTACATACTCTCCTAGTGTGTCATCCAGTCTTGCCTTCATGCCCTTTCCTTTACAGAGATTTTCAATCCAAGATTTTCAGGTGCAAAGCACATTTGTATCTAGAGTGGCATCTTTTCACCAGTGAACAATGACAATGACATAAAAAAGTATTTCCAATATTTTAAATCACATTATTCACAATTCAATATTCAAAATATATTCACATTCAAAAAGTTAAATACAACATTTAAAACTTTTAAATCAAGATGGATATTTAATCTTCAATTATAGCATATTATTTATACACAAAACACATATCTTAGAACTGAAACAGCAATTCAAATTCTTACTTGCACACAGTAGTTGGAAACCTGGGCCATTCCCTTTTTTTAAGGGAAGCAGAAACACAGCGTCTGATTAACATAATGAGTTTACTTTGAATTGTAAATTTAAAAAGGTGCCTCAACATATTATTGAAATATGTGACAATAATCGCTGTTTTTATAGTGGCATATAAACGCAAAACAGTCCAGACCAGCCTGCATTTGCGGCATGAATTTCATCATTTTTGTTGCACCGTCAGTAATAGAGTTTTGTAGTAGGCTACCCACTGTATGCCAGGTCACATAAATGCCTCATAGCGAATACAACGACGGATATATTTTTATTTTGAAAAGCCGCGGGCGGATGTTGATTCGGAAACACTGTCGAGGATGTGGTTTCCTCAAAACTAGCTGCAGTGCTAAATTGCTCAGAAGAATCACTGTGAAACTTTGCTTTAGAAAGCAGGCGAGTACAAATTTAGAACTAGAGGTAAATCATTCATGCGGTTATGAAGTGACTTGATTGTGGCCATCGACTGGGTAAAAATCACTTAACACAACTGCTCTGCTGAGCAGGATGCTAGCATGTGTGGTTAGCAAACATTTGCAGGGACTTAGCTCGTTTAACTAGCTTTAACCGTCAGCCAAGTCTTATTATGAGGCTTATTTTTTTCGCTTTATGCTTATACTCGATTTAATGGACCTCTGCGCAATGGACACCGAGGCAATAGTGATTCGCATAAAAACTCCTACAGGGGACATGGACTCGTCCGTCGAGTCTCCATCTCTTCTGAACTTCAATGACTTGCTGGTGAGCTAGCTGACGCTCACTGCTGATGACACCTAATGTTAGCATCTGGTTAAAACTTTAGGTTTCTGATTGAACGTATCTGTAACTAACTAAAATTACACTTGAAAAAGTTATAACGTTACTGTGACCCCATCTTACATGTTCATTTAAGCTATATAAATATACTTAGCTCTGTCTATCGTCCTTAACAAGCTCAGCATCTGTCTACAGTTTTATTATTATGTGCTTTGTTATTGTCCCTTCTATAATTCATTCTACCAAACCTTTTAGGTCGGAATCAGAGATATTATGCCTGAAGCCACTGTCACAGCATTTGAATGTAAGTATATATTTCACAGTTGTATTGTGTTACTGTGAAAACAGGAACTGTACAACCATAGCAATGTCTAACATGCATCACTATTTTTTCAGCTCCTCACTAGCACATAAATAATTAGTCAATCAGTTAGTTGATCAGTTTGGTAACTCACTGATCTCAGCAGCAAATATAGACTAGTTTGCCACCATTTCTTTTGTGTGTGTCCCTCTCAAATGTGCAGGTTTGATGTTCTCAGTTTTAGCTGTGTCATGGTAAACTGAATATCAAACAAAGCAAGACATTTAGACTCTGTGAAGTTGCAACATACCTTCTGGCTACTGTTTAATTAACTTTTTAAACACCACCAGTTGTCCTGGGTACACTTGTACACAACTTTTCAAGGTACTTGGTAGGTACAGTAGGTTGTTCCAAGCATCTTGGAGGTCTTAACACAGTTTTTGTCCCTTTGTATTTGTGACACCCAAAATTTTGACACTGTATTGCTACTTTTCTCTCATTTTGTTGCTCTGACTGATGTGCATAGTTTCAAAATGGCTTAAGATGACCTTACTTTCCATATTCTTCATAATATGGATTGACTTACATCAATCTTTTAGAGTGTTATTTACTAATATGACATTAAATTTAGTTTAATTTTATGGCACAGTTTGCTGTAGCTTTGTGTAATTGCTATGCTACAAGTAGACAGAGTAATTTTATATCTTATGCCTAAATTCATACGTCTCTTATCTATACCACTTATCCTGAAGAGGGTCGTGGGGGGACTGGAGCCTAGCCCAGCTGACGTTGGGTGAGAGGCAGGGTACACCATGGACAGGTTGCTAGTCTATCACAGGGCTGACCCTTAGAGACAGACAACCACACACACCCACACTCATCCCTACCGGCAATTTAGAGTCGCCAGTCAACCTAAGCTGCATGTCTTTGGTTTGTGGAAGGAAGCCGGAGTACCTGGAGAGAACCCACACAACATGCAAACTTTGCACAGAAAAGCACTGTTTCTCAAACCTGGAACCCTCTTGCTGTGAGGCAGCGCTAACCACTGCTCCACCATTCCACCCCCCCAATCTAGTTTTTGTCCCCCATCTGTTCCTGTTGAGTGTTTCTTATGGTGATGTTGCTGTTTATGATTTACTATTTGGTTAAAAGGTTTTTACAAACCAAATTTAAGAAGCTTTTGTGTCTTTTAGATGAGGATGAGGTTGGGGACAGAATCACTGTAAGAAGTGATGAAGAACTCAAAGCCATGTTGTCATATGTGAGTATGTCAATTTATCAGCCGGTTTGTCATCACATCACACATCATCCCACAAATTGCATAACAGGACTGTATTTTTAAGTCATAGCGGTTTTCATTGGGGGTTTGTTGGTTATTACAAAGAAGTTATGATGAAACTTTTCTGACTACATTTATGTGACATTCATTGCATGTCTCAAATGTCTGAACACTTTATCATTAGAAATCATGTCCAACGTTTTTTGTGCAGCCTTTCCAAACCAAGGGCCTAAGAGATTTGCATTTTATATAGATTGTAAAGCACTTCTGTGGCACATTTGTGACTTTGAGGTATGCAAATAAAACAAACCTGACCTGGACAGAGTAACCAGGATATTGTTTTATATATTTGGTATTTTTGACTACTGTGTGCAGTACAATGGAAAAGTCCCTCACCCTCATTTTCACTGGGCAAAAATATTACAGACAGACATCTCAAAACCTTAGCACAGTAAACTAACAAGTAAGAAAGTATTTGCTATAATGTGTATTAGGAAGAAACTAGTACTGGGCAACGACTAAAATCCTTAATCGCATTAACTGCATGATTTTTCTGAGATTAACCGCGATTAACTGCATTGATATGAGCAGCATTCAATAATGAATTCAAAAGTAGTGTATTGTGCACTTGTATTTTAAAAGTACTACTATATGCACAAAAGTGCAATAACATTTGGTTTGCAAACCCTTTAAACAAATAAGGTGTTTTTACACAGTAGCAGCAAATCTCAAACAATGGAATCAAGCTCATATCAAGGCATATCAATCAAGGCTCATACGTGCCATCATCCATTGCAATCCTAATAACATTCCTCAGTCCAACATCTTACACAATACTAATTGGCCTGCAGTTTGTAGCTATCCACTTAGCTATGGCATTTGTTAGCTTGTCTTGCTTTTGTTTATCTATACTTCTCCCGCACGCTACATCCAACGTAGTCTGCCGAAGCCTCCCTCCGCTGTTTGTTTGGTTGGGTGATTTGCTGGCATCAACGGTGTGTATTGCATTTAAGTGATACTTCAGACTCGTAGTACTCCGGTGATAAGAAAATTCTGCTTTGCAGTGGCTTTGACTTTGGTTCTATCAACTCCGCCGTGCGGAAGAGATTTAAATTGAAAATGTCCACATAAGAGTCCTTTACCTTTTTTCATTTTTCTGTCCCTGCCAGTTCTATTCAGTTCAAGGTCATGTGAGCGCTGCAGCGGTCATACGCCCACCCCAAATGCTTTTATTGGTTGAGGTGCGTGATGACGCCCATCTCAAGCGAGTACTGATCAACATCCCACCCCTCCTGTTACCCATGGTTTGTCTGTAATGTGTATTCAGACCCAGTGAGCAACGAACTTTCAAAATAATAATAAAAACAAACTGCGTTAATGCGTGATAAAAAAAATTGTCGGCGTTAATGAAGTATCACGTTAATGTGAAAATAACGCGTTTACTCGCCCAGCCCTAGAAGATGGTCTGATGGAAAAAAAAAAAGTATTAAAAAGAGAGGTAAATGCTTATAACTACATACAGTTGACAAGCTTTGACTTCTTGCTTACATCTCTACAGTGACACTCTATTTATCTGTAACTCAGAAAACTGGAAAGAATTTTGAAACCATATACTCTTATCTAGTTGTTCCTTACCTACGCACGCACGCACGCACACAAACTTCCACTACTCCTTCAGCCCCCCCACCTAGCACAGTGTATTTTCATTTTCCACAATACTTACTGTTCATGCCATGGACAGTAAGAGTAATGACGTGTAATGGATTTCTCTACGAGGTACACTGAAAACTAAATGAACTGTCAATTTTTATTATATATTATTCAGTACTTAAAGTTTTGCCTCATTAAAGAGCGACCCCCCCTGGGCTGCAGAATTGTTGAAAATCTACTTTCATCTGTGGATGTCTTTTACCCCCCATCAGCTCACAATGATGCTGCTACAGGCACAGTTTACACTCCTTGTTTTTTGTCCATTTTTATAATGCATTCACTTGTGGTTGCTTTTTAATCATTAAGTAGCATAGGGTAGCTTGGGTGATTAAGCAAAAAGAGACAGTTGTTGTTCTGAGCATTGTGAAACGGAGATGAGAAAAGCATTGACCTCTGCCAGCTTTATTATTTACAAATCCAGTGGAAATGTTTTTGAATTCTTTAGTGATTTTTCTCTTGCTGTGCTGTGTGTCCTGTTGGAATAGGAGTAGCTTTGATGAATATATTGACTGATGTGTCAGTGACCTAGGTCAGATGAGGTATAATCTCTCCAGCATATTCTGGGTCTACCCCAGTGCTTCCTACCAGTTGCAGGTGCCCAGAAAACCTCCAACGTAAGGTGCCAAGGAGGCATCCTAATCAGATGCCTGAACCACCTCTACTGGCTCCTTTTGACGAGAAGGAGCGGGGGCTTTACTTCAAGCCCTCTCTGGATGTCTGAATTCCTCATCCTGTCTATAAGGCTGAATACAGCAGGTTAAAAAAATAAAGCTATCCTTTAATGATGAAGTGATTAGATTTTTGTGATTAAAGGTCAAGGTCACAGTGACCTTACTTTTGTCCAATTAATGTGAATGCATTTGACTGGTTGGCGGAGGCATACGACCACAAAGTGGTAAATTTACTTGTATGGAACGTCATTCATTTAGTCAAATATTGTTCATTTGAAATTAAACGATCACATTTTTTACCTAATATTTACATTTATTTGTCAGACCACAAAAGATCATATGCAATGATTTACATTTGTAAGGCATAATGGTAGCTTATTATCTATTATTATTAACACTTCATTCTTTATTCAGATAATGTGAAATGATGTTAACAGCATATAAATTTATGACCTTGACCTCAGCCTCTCAGTGCCCATCAAAATATGTACTTTTCATGACCCTGTACTGCTTTGTCCACATATTTCAAAAGCCATTTATATAGTAAATTTTTGGCAAATGAATCAGTAATGGCTTTCTACTCATGGGAGATCCAAGTGTACAAAAAGCTGCTGATCACCTGGAAAATACAGCTCACAAAATATATTATTTCACTAGCTGAGTTCTTTTAATGTCTTATGCAAGGGTTATGCATTTCAGCAGTAATTTGCATTTGTATTCAAGAGATTTTTTTTTCTTGTTGTGGTTGTTTGCTGTGGTTGCCATTTGGCCTCCATCGAGACCCCAGTGGATTTTTGCCTCAGTGTTATTAATTCCAGGTGAGCAGACAGCCATTCTGTGAAATTAATAGGAATTAAGGAGAACCCGCATGTTAGGTGAAAGGTTAGGTAATTCATTAGAGTCTCTTATGCCTGCTTTGTGTTTGCACGCATTTCTTTATGTGTGAATGTTTGTGATACTGTAATTAGTTCAAATAATTAGTTAAAAACTATAGCCAGACTGTTACTGCTGTCACTGCAGTGTTTCTTTTTCGAGATCTTGCAATAACTTTAGCAAGCAAAAAAAAAAATCATGCTTTTTTTTTTTTAATTGCTGAGCAAAATTAACGCTCAAATTCAGTGCTCAATTAACATCAATCTGCAGAGGGCATTTATTGTGAAAAGTATCCCCCACCACAGAAGAACATTGATTGCTACATGCTCCTGTGAGACTCACTAGTCTTCCAGGCATCTCTAATCATTGTTCGACACCTTGAAAGACAAACTCCCCTGTTCAAAGTTAAAGACTGGACTGTGTCAGGTGCTTAAAAAAAAAAAACATGTGACCTCATCTGTTCCTAGCTCAGCTCCCCCTGGAGGTAGTGGCCCTAATTCCACTATTCTTACTCCCATTTCCCCTTAGTCTGCTAATGATGATGAGACCCACTCTGCTCTCGCTCACCTACTTGTCCCTTAAGGCTGAGCAATGGTATTTGGGATCGGACACTGTTTAGTTATTGGCCAACAATGGAGAATGTCTTTTAATAACACACCTACTAAAGATTAGGTGGTAATTGCAGCCCTAATCAATAAGCTAGCTGAGCGGAAAATTAAAGGTACGTGAAGCCCATATCCCCCCCCCACCCCACCCAAACACATACAACATGGTTTTTGGTATTATGCCCATTGTTCGGATGTGGCCTAGTGAGAATGCTGGAGGGCGAAAGCAGAGGGCTAGAAGCGAGGAGGGATCTGACAGTGATAAATAGGCCTTTTAATAACAGCTGTGCCACTTGGGTAGCCATTCTGATCCATTCCCATCCAATCCGGTCCCATTGTCTTTCCTTCCTCCCCCACTATGAGAGAGCAAATTTACATATCACCATGATGACTTGGTTATTCAAACTGGATTGTAAATGAAACCGTAAATTCATGTGTGAAGACAACAAGAAGAAATACATTTTATAAATTGTGTTTTTGGTCTTGATGTAATCCTTATTGGTTTGTAGATGCACAAAGGAGGGGATAGAAACAACACACACAGGCAAACACACACGCTCACAGTTTAACAGATGGTTTGGTTAACTGAAACATCAATTATTGCATTGCCTTGGCAAGCATCTGAGAGGCTACCGAGTGTGTGTGTGCACGTGTTTGTTCTGTAGGATACCAGTGTTTGGTGAGCGGTTGACCTGGAGGAGAAAAGGGTTAATGCTACACTCCTTCAGAACAGCCCCACAGAGCATTAGTCCTCATCAGCAACAGATTTCAGAACAGCACGCTCACATTTTTGGGAACACCGTGGACTAACTCTTATGTCATTAAAGTAAACATTTTTTGTCTGTGCAGTATTCCGCATGGTGAAATCACAAATTTACTAAGGCTCTTCTTCATCTATTTTAATTTTGCTGTGTTGGATTGTGTTTTTTCGTTTGTTAACGTTCTTGTACAGGATGTAAGTGATTGTTTATTAGCATATTTATTATCACCTCAAACCACCACTGCTCATTACAATTTTTGACTTTCTTTTCTCATTTAGTACTGCAACACAATGAATGAACAACGCATGAATGGACTGCTGCCAGACCCGCTACAGATTTTTCCGAGAGGTAGAGTGCTGCCGTGCACTGAAAATGCTGAAAGGCATCTTTGTAATTCATGTGTTGAAAATTAATCACAAGCAAAATTTTAAGAAGCAAAAATTAACACTTTCCTAGTCAGAAGCCATCAAACAGAAATTAGGGTAAATAATTTGTGCTGTATTCAAACAGTAAGAAAATGGGAGCATTTGGTGCTAGAAGTAACAACATTATAATGAGGTGGCTCATTCTGCTATTGTATTGACAGTCAATTATTAACTCTACATTTATTTTTTTTTGCTCCAAGGACATTGAAACGGCAAGCTTGTGTTCAGGCTAACCTTGCCCAGATTTCTGGCACTGTGTACTTTCTTTCTATGCTGGTTTTTACTAAGGGTGCTTATTTGCATACCTTTTCTATATCTTTATATAGCTTTTTCACCACTCCAAGTTATACATAATCACAAACAGGCTCCTGGGGCAAAGTGATGAAACTTTTTTTTTTATCTCCCTCTTTTACTCCATGTCTGGCTCCCTCTTTCTTCTCTCTCTCTTTCTCTGTACTCTGTCTCACTTGCTCTCTCTAACTCTCTATCTCCTTCTCTTTAACTGTGATTCTGTTTTTTTCTTCCTTCCACCAGCTGTCTCAAGAGCCCAACATCTCAATCACTCTTGTCTACAGCTAATTTCAGAGTAGCGCTCATTTCATTTCATCTTTTTTTCTTTATAAAGAACTGATTCCTTCTTTTCAGCACATTTGTAAATGGCCCTCTGATGTGTTCTACAATCTAGTCAATTACTGTTTCAGCCGGCAAGACTCCAGGGATCCGGAACATACATGGCCTGAAGGTACCTATCTCAATAATTGTTTCAGCTGCCTTACACAGAGAGCAAGGGGAGGGGAAGGGGGGATGTTGAGGCAAATGGATTGGTAACGTTGTGTTCCACTTCTTGAAATGTCAATTGAAGTCAAGGCTCACTATGTCTATGCTTATGCAAGGGGGTTGCTGTGGCTGTAGCAGGGTTTGCCTGTATCCTTCTGTCTCTGTATTGTTTCTTGTGCTGGGATAGTCGTTTAAGAGCCAGGTGTTGTGCTGAAACCCTGCCCCCTCTAACCACAGTATTATGATCCTCTCATCAGAAGAACATCAGTTCTGGTTAAAGCAAAAGCTAAGTCAGGCAGTAAGAAGATGTCATTGTTCAGCCATGAAATTGTCATTACAAGCCCCCATCTCTCAGTTACAAACGGCCTTCCTCTGAGCCTCCCATTTTTTGTTAGGCATATGTTGTTATTGAAGTCATTGCTAATTACCATGGGTTAAATGACTTGACACCTCTTCAGTCTCTCCAGATGATCTATATTTCATCAATCTCCATTTCAATAATAGAATTACCCCATCCTCAATACTGAAAGTGCTTTGTTTAATGTATTCTCTGAGGAGCTTTTACACCAACTGCTGAACTGTGTCAGTTTTTTTTTAAGGTCAAGGGTCTGTTTTGAAAAGATGTTTTCCAAAAACCTTTAGTCCTTTGGTAATCTTTCTCATTTTTTCTCCTGTTTTAATGTAAAAGTAATTGGTGGAGGGGAGTCTTGTGCATTGTTTAAATTAGGTCTTCGGGGGCACTAATTAAAGAGAGAATCCCTGTGCTTTAGAGGGCCCAACACAACGGCCTTTTGACCTCAATTAAATGAGTTATTTTTAGTATTGTCTTTACAGGGTGTTGTCTCTTCTTTTGTGTTTGATTTCTGAGTTGAGTACAGAGGTCTTTGGAGTAAACATAGATGCAGATGAATAGATGTAAAGAACAGTGTCTCCAGTGAGGCACTGGATTTTTTTAATGTCTTAACTTTATTTGGTTCTCATCTTTGTCCAGATTTGTTTTATGTCTCACTTCCTCTAGTGCTGTACTTTCATGCAGATATATATGTTGCTGTCATTCTTTCCCCTCCTCTGTGTAGACATCTCTTTCTTTCTTATTTGCCTGCCTGCTTCCCTTCTCTCCTACGAAAGCCAATTAACCTCCAGGCTGAACTGAGAGTCTGTGTTTTGTTCTTGTTCATTAGGGGGTCTGGCCATATGTCTGACTGGCTGCTTGTCTGTCTTTGGCCTTGACTACTGAACGTGTGTCTGCGCATGTGTGTGTGTCTTTTCACGTATTTGTGTATTTGTTTGCACAACTTCAGGTTAATACGAGACCTAACCCAGCCAGTGACTGCACTCAGGGTGTCCCAGACTCCATAGCCAACAACAGGTGAGCTTGCTGAGGCATGAGGAGCATGTTTCACTGCTTAAATTGGTTGGTTAATAGATGAGTAATAAGATGTCTGTGATACTTAACATTGGTGACATGGCGCTGTGTCCCTTCTTCTAGCTTAAAAAAATCATCTGCTGAACTGAAGAGGATCTTGACAAATGGGCAGGTGAGCCTGTGTTTTGTATTCAAGTAGAGTTTGACCACTGTTACATCACTGCCCCTGTTTTCTCACCTGGTTTCCTCTAACCAAAGCACATTCTCACTATTGGTTGGCTCCTCAATTGATGTCCTTTGATGCCAGCCGTGGGCCTGTATTTGGTCATTATTTCTTTACTGTGCTGCACTGAGAGCAGGGCATCTATGAGTTCATAGGATCAAGCCTGCTACAGTCATGTGTCTCTCTCTTTATGAAAACACACACTCTCTCTCACAGACATAGTGGCTAGTCTCTACGGCAGCAGCCTCTCAGACTTTTCTGTAACATAGTGATCTAATACAGCTGCTCTCTACCTTATTGTGCATGCTTTCACACATTTTCTCACTGGGCCTCATTCACTGGTATGTGCGTAAAAATGTTTTTATCTGGTGCAACAAGTGCCCATGCAAGATTATCATCAGAGTCATGAAACGTGCACACTGGCCAATATTGTTCTTAACACCATGTGTGTGCTAGCAAATCAGAATCATTTGAAAATGATAGGCAGGTCCCTGCAATTAGCATACTGGCATGCTCCCTTTTCTCTATATAAGGAAGTAGGTTTGCCTAGAGGTTTCTTGTGGACAAAGCGGTGAAGTTACAAGAGAGAAGCGGGAAGGACGGAACTCGAACCTGAGGAGGTATTGGGTGAGATGACTAAGATGCTGTTCCAGGGCATTGCATAGCTGCAGACAAACTTGTCTTTGTAGTTGAGAATGACTGAAAAGCCATTCGTCCCTCTCTTGAAACACATTATGCCAGTCTCTGAAGATGCACTCTCTCTTGCGGGAACAGTCAGCAGTATCTTCCAGCAAGTCTTGATATACCATATTAACACTTGCTTGGATGTAAATCAGGGTTCTTTGTATATCCTGCAGCAGTTCTATAAGCTAGAAATTAACCAGGTAACTATCAGTTATCACTGGCTACATATGCACAGTTTTATGCAACTAGAAGTTGGTGAGCCAACAATGAAAAACCAGCTCTGCTACATTTCAATATAGATGTAGTCATATACTCATACTGAATATACTGTATACTCTAATATACAGGTGTTTGTATATTTTTGTCCTGCCCATTGACATACATGAGAGGGTCAGAATATTAGGAATACCTCTGAATATAATGTAGTGTGGTACAACACTTACTTGATGGTAAGATGATGTCATGGGGTAGGACTGGATAAGTCTGACTTCTTCCTACTCCATTCAAGCATGTACTAGGTATAAGCAAATTGATATTGGATTAGCATTTGTTGGATATGTGTAAAATTATGTGTGTTGACATATCAACTGTCTTTACATGCTTGAAAGAATAAATCAAATCAAATCAAAGTATGAGGGACTATGTAATAGTCAACTGAGGTGCAATACTCAAACCCGGGGGGTAAAATGCATGGTTAATATGCACATATGTAAAATCTGTTCTTGATTTCTCTTGAATACTTTATGCTGTCATGTCTGTTTATGTATTTTTGAGTAGTTTTTCTGAGATCCTCATGGCTGAAATACAGGTATTTCCCCCATTGCGGGATCAATTATGAGATAATTTCACAGTAAATATTTCATTGATCCTCTCATCTCTGTCTCTGTTTTCCTTATGTTGCAGAACTTGGAGTGACTTCAGTGCATGTGTTGGCTATTAGTGACAGTGTAGTCCCCTCCACACCCCCTTAGTTACACACATCATTCACTGGTTACATGCCTTCTCATGATATCAAAGTACCATTGTTTTATACCTGTGTGCTTTTGTCACTCTGCAGATAAATGCACAAGATATTCACTATCAAGAGCAACTCGGCCATGGAAATGGAGGAACAGTTTACAAGTAAGTGTTCTGACTCTCACACTCAGGCACCAACTTTACAGTTCAAGGTCACTGAACTGTAATGCACAGTGACAGTGTCACTATATACAGTGTCACTATATACCTTCTGAAATAAGTGAAATGGTCTCAGTGATGTATTTGGTAGGGGTGTGACGAGATCTCGCGCTATATCTCGTGATGATATTTCTTGGTGAGACAAAATCTGTCTCACAATATCAGTACATGCAGGGGGACTGTTGTAGGCATGTACGATACGGCCACGTTGTGACAAGTCAACGGCAGCATGGAGAGGGACAGAAAGAGACTAAACAGGCTGGTTAAGAAAGCTGGTTCTGTCCTGGGCTGCCCCCTGGATTCCATCGAGGAGGTGGTGGACAGAAGGATGCTGGCAAAACTAACATCCATCATGCATAACCCCTCCCATCCCCTGCACCACACAGTAGAGGCTCTGAACAGTTCCTTTAGCACAAGACTGTTACATCCTCGGTGTAAGAAGGAGCGTTACTGTAGGTCGTTCCTCCCCACAGCAATCAGACTGTACAATACATCAATGCAGTGATAAGCTAGGTGAAAGCATGAGGGACAATGCAATAGTCAACTAAGGTGCAATACTCAAATCCTGGGGGTAGAAATGCATGGTAAATATGCACATATGTAATATCCTGTTCCAGATTTTTCTCAAGTACGTTGTATCGTCTTGTTTTAGGTATTTTTGAGTAGTCTTTCAGAGATCCTTATGGCTGTAACACAGGTATTTCCCCCATTGCGGGATTAATTATGGAAGTAATTTTCTTGTCCTTGATTTCTTGATTCCTCTCAAATACTATATTTTGTCTTGTTCTTAGGTATTTTTGATGTGTTTCTCAGGGATTAATTGTGGGAGGAATATCTTGTTCCTGATTGTCTCTCAAATACTATATTTTTTCTGGTTTTAGGTACTTTGGAATTTGTCTCTCACAATATGTGTGTGGTGTTTGTTCTTATGATGTTTTGTTGCTGCTCTTTGTTGCTGCTGAAACACAAGAATTTCCCCATTGTGGGATCAATAAAGTCCTACCTAGCTACCTTATCTTACCTTGCCTTCAAAATGCACTTGCAGTATTTTTCATTTTGTGACTTTCAGTTGAATAAGACTATTTTTCCAGTCATACATTTGGTCATTGAAGATTTCTTAAAAACAGTATTAAAATATCATCTTGTCTCGTTCTCATGAACCCAATATTGTGTATTCTCTCTTGAGCTAAGTGTTTTGTCACACCCATAGTATTTAGTTATGCTGAAGCATCTGTTTACAGTGCAGATATTAAGGAAGGATTTCTCATTTAGTGGCCACATATAGACTGAGGATACTTTTTTTCTGTTAAGTTTTTATGACAAAATTGCCGACATCACTCTGCAGTTGGGTTCTCTGAAGAGTTTCATATTCTTCACCTCCCTCCCCTCTGTTCCTTCACTTTTTCATTTGTCTCCCAATGCTTGGTGTGACATCTGTCTGGCTGGTTTGTGTCTGTACTTCATTTATTTATTCTGGTTTGAAGGTTGCAAACATATATGATATTGATTTGGGGCTGTAAGGTCTGACGGCAGTTGGCTTAATCGGTCTATAGTACATCACATTACCTGCCACGATGGAAGAACTTCATTCTCTCTGGCTAGACAAATGTGTTACCAGCCTGCTAACGTTATGACAAGGTTGGCATTTGTGCTGCTCCTTCTATCCTTCTTTTCCCCACCTTGTGTCTCTTCTTCCCATCAATCCTTAGCTATTGAGCTGTTTTATTGAGATTGAAGTATTGATCACTGCTCAGACTAACCTTGACTTGACAGAGTGGTCTGCCTCACACAGTCCCCAGCAAACCCAGTAAATTTCCTTTCTAGTGAATCTGCAAGATGCTTTATTTATTTTTTACCCCTTTCTTTCCAACCGTCTTTTACTGTTTTATGACTTTGGCTCTTAATGAAACTATCTCACTCTGTCATAGATGTAGGGAGAATGAGATTGTTGATCAGACTGGCACTAGAAGTTGTTACACTGCACTAGGGAAGGCCAATATTGCAAGGCCAACAGCTTCTCAGTCAATTTAGCGCAGCAAGAAATCCATATACTTTGGTACTGATCTTTTTATGAGTGAAAGGAGAGGATGAAATAAGGAACTAGATGACCTAGTTGTTTATGCTATCTTGGTGTTGTAGGGAGTTTTATTTCACATCCATTCAGATGCATCATTTCATTTAGGTTTTAATTAAAATAAAAACATTCATCAATTCATAAGTGCTTGTTCATCTCAGAATAATCAGGACACGCAAAGGAGCCCAAACATGCTTTTCAACAGCTTAATAATGCAGCCCTGTGATCATATTCCTAAACACATGCTGTCTTAAATTCATACTACACACTAATTCTAAGCAGAGGTTGAGCATGTTGATGCTGTAAAAGTGAAAATTATGCTCAGAAAAGTCAGTGTGCTTACTAAAAATATTTTGAGCTGTTGATTGACATTAAAAAAAAATTTCATCGTAGGCTTTTGGACTCGTCATAGCAGTAAAAACATGGGTAAAACAACATTTTTTAACAGTGGCTCAATAATAATAATAATAATAAAATAGTTACATTAGCACGGTATAGTCTTAAATTGTTTCCAACAAGTTTAAATGTCTTCATTATTTACAGTGTTTACATTAGCATTGTAACACAAGTTCACCTATATCTCTTCAGGCCACAAACTACCTCATTGTGGTGTCCTTGTTCATTTTATAGGAAAGGAGAATTTCCCTTGTCAATGCATGGTTTACGCTATTTTGGTCAAGTAAATGCAGTGATTGGATTTCAGTGTGTTCAGCTACGCCTAGTCATTATTACAGCAGTCAAAGTTTCAAACATCAGCTGAAGAGACCAAAAAGGTCAGTTACTAATGCATGCATAAAAATAAAGAAGCTTTGCCCCTCTGCTATGTGGTTGCACCTTTGACCATTGGTTCTTTTACACTGTACTCATGAAAGTAATAAAGGCTTTGGATTAAGACACAAAAACAGGTCCAATTGGGCAAGAAGCGGTCAGACAGTAAAACAAGATGGAAGCTGATGCTGATTAGATTTTACTGCCATACACAACCTACTACCGTGTGAGTTGATGCCTGTAGCATACACTGAGCATGCCATGCTGACAGAAGAAGTAGGCATGTCGTATTCTGATTTAATGATTGTTAAACACTACTAGTGTGCAGGCTTTCATAGAACACAACAAGTATAGGTGTTTTAATACGTCATGCTCTGTCGATGTGCGTTTCCTTCTGTTTTGTCTTTTGGCCAAATTTAAGAATTGACAATGATTAGCAACAGCTGATAAAATATGCAAGTGGTACCTTTTATTTCAGTAGGAAAACATTTACATGATATTCATGATTATGTTTGCAGAGAAAAAATACTTTACCCAGATACAGTAACTGGGCGTGCTGTGTTTCTACATTATTGTTCTCATTTAAAAAAGCCTTTTTTAAATTGACAATTTAGTGTTGTATCTGTATTGGGTAGCTATACGAAACAAATTATGCTGTACCGAGCAAAAATTACCACTTATAAAAATTCTGTATGCATATAAATAAAGGGCCTGACCAGGTTCCTTGCTTGCTTAGAAATATTTTTCTTTCCTCTTCAGCCTCTACACTTTGGTCCAGCTTATATTAGGCTTATCACGTGTGAAATGCACTACCGAAGGCTTTCCACCTTTTAACCTTTTAGCCCGTTTATGACCCAGAGCCATTTAGACTCAATTGGATGTTACCAACACCTCAGCTCTCCATAGCTACACGCTGACCTAACCATCCATCACTGTCAGCCTTTGTTTTTTATTACACACACTCTCAGAGGGCTACCAATCCAACTCACTCTATGGCTTATAAATACAATAACAAGGACACAAAGGCTATTTTTGTGATTCATGGAACCAGCAGTGCAATTAAAACAAGCACATTTGCCTGGCTGTGACTGTGGTGACATCTACTTAGACACCCATGGCTGTTCCTTTAGTCTCTTAGCCCATTTTCTCCATTGATTTTTTATCTTTTCACCTCATTGATTAGGCTGTATATTCAAGGGCCAAACCTCTTTGGTTAATTGGTGGAAACCTATTATCATTTCAGCTTGTGTCTAGAACCAGTTGAACGGAATTGCAGTTTACATGGGGGCTCACAACGGCCCTCAAATGAAAGTCTTTTGATTGGCTTTCGCATGCCTGGCTGTTTTTGCATTTGATTTCCTTTTTGTAAGGAAACTGATGTCTGAAAAGAGAAATTTGTTGTAATGAAATCTGCAGTATTTACTATTTGTGAGTTGATGGTGCTAGATATGAAGATTTTGGTAGCTATTTGGCACTTTGTAAACCTGATCTGGTGGTTTGGAATAGGTAAATCAGGCCTTGTTATGGAGGTGAGTTGTTCTACAGGTAAGTATACTAAGCTACAAAGCTGACTAAGCAGTCCTTGAATGCAGCTTAGTACAAAATCTTAGCAACATCATTTTCCTTCATTTCTGAGGTTGTTAATAAGTGTTCAGTTGGTATTAGTTCACAGAGTATGGCAGTTGATGTGGGATCATTTCATGAGACACTGGGTGTCCTGATATAGAACAATCACACAAGACAGTGCTTTCCAAAATGCAAATTGAGTTTACTTTTGTTGCACCAGTTTTTTCTTAAGCCTGAGTGTTTTTGAAATTTGTATTTCTCTTACCATATATATGGGTAGACGGTTAGGCTCTCTGAATATTACTCCACACAAATGGGTCAATTATCTTATGGTTAAGAACCTGAACGGGATTTTCAGAATCCAACATTACTACAGTCTTAGAAGCTCTCTTTGTCTGAAGATGGCAACACTGGCATATCTAGATCAGCAGATCTAAACAGTGGCATCTGTTACTTCCTTTCCCTGGAGTTGGGGGCAGTGTGGCATGTGTAGAACTGGTCTGACAGTGGGTAAATCCCATAGCACATCCTTTAAGAATACAAATCAACAGCAGTGTTTTTCATTATGTAAGTAAACATAATGCTACATAGCTGGGGCTTACAACATCTCATTAAAAAAACATCTGCTGTT